CGTCAACGGTGGGCTCGGGCTTTAGCTCCGCACAGCGGGGAGATGATGGGCTGGGCTCTGGGTCCGGAGTGGATCTTTTCTCGCCAGAATCCACTCCACAAACGCGCCGAAATCCTCTCGAGGACCATCTACAGACGACAGCGCTCTGCACTCAATGTTTAGACTGGCGTCGTAGAACGCACAGAGTGCGTCGTCCGGGTAGCTGGTGGTGCTTGCTAGCAGCTGGAACAGTCTAGTATGGTCCTCGAGAGCTTTGTCCCCCTGCTCCAGCGGGAAGAGGAGGTATTCGGGGCGAAGAAGGGCATCCATCCAGGGAACACAACGGAAAAAAAGATACTGGGAAAAACGAGAAAACAAACAGAGGAGAAAACACGGAGGTAACTCTTTTTAGGTCAGGTCTTCTGTCACGCTACGCTGTTCATGGAACACGCTGGAGTCACGAGGAAACGTTTAACAGTCTTTAATCAAAGAAACACGGGGAATAATCCACAACAGGCGCTTGAGCAACACACGTAGAGAACGAGTAGACCTGACAAACACAAACTGAACAGACTAGGACTTTTAAACACAGGGCAATCAGGGGAACACATGTGACATCAATGGAACATAATCAAACTAAACGAGGACAGGAACATGACCAAATAAAGAAACACTAGAACAGAAACCGGAGCAAAACAGAACATAGACAGTCCAGAATCCTGACATCCTGAAGCAAATGCCACTGTTTAATTTTATTTTGTCACTGTCCTGAAGGAAAATAAATACTTGTGTTGACAGCACATCTTTTTTTCTACCCACTTTTAGAGAAATGTTTAGCTAGTATTTATTTGATACAGTAAAAAACGTAATATTGTGAAATATGATTATAATTAAAAATAACTTTTGCATTTTAATATATTTTAAACTGTATACTTTATTCACATGATGGCTGATTTGCTGATTAAGTGCTCAAGTAATATTTCTTATCAACATTGTTGAAAACAGTTGTTGCTTAATGTTTTAGTGGAAACCAGGATACTTTTTTTTCAGGATTCTTTGATGATTAGAAATTTCAGAACAGCATTTGTTTGAAATATAATATTTTTGTTCTATTAATATATGTGTGTGTGTGTGTGTGGAGTACAAAGCAGTGTTCCTTCCTGTGGAAGACCACATTTTCCACAAAGTTTTGGATCCTCCTACTAGCTCTTTTTTAGTTAGAGCTTCTGGCAAAACTCCTGGCCTTTGAACTCATTCCATAATTCCTTTCTTCTGAACCACATTTCCCTTCAAGCAGCCACCCCCACCATTTCCCCAAAATCCTTTCCCTGTCTGCTGAACTCAGAGCCATGTAGATTAAACTTTCAGCTGCGCTGGAGGTAAAACTGATCTGTCCCATCTGCGTAGCTCAACACTGGGCCTAATTAATGTCCGTTCCCCTCGGAGATGAGCTGGGTTCACCTGGATCTGTGGCGGACGTCCGTCAGACACATTTATCTGTGCCTCACCACTGCCGGTGTCCGGTCCAACTGTAGCTGACAGATGGATGTGCGAGGCGCGAGCAGTGTGTTTGTATATTTAAGGAGTGGGCCTGAAGCCTGCCTGCGGTATAATAACTTTGTCTGAGTCTTTTATATTTGTTTTGTTTAGACCCACCTGGAGAACACAAAGAGATAGCCAGAGGCGGCCGAGGATGGAAATAGAGCTACAAAATGACCTAGTGAGAAGCCTCACAAGAGCTTATATGGGTCATGTCTATAGTTCAGCATAGTTATTTCTCCTTAAGGTGTTTCAGTCTTGATTTGGGACAGACCCAAGCTCTCATAATAAGTCACACATGAAAATCCCATTTGTGTATAGGGATTTATTAGAGTACATAAAGGAGGATGAAGCAAGATTAAGCTTGTTTGATTTTAATGGACACATGGTTGCTTTATATATAACACATAGACTGGCCCTGAAAAAATGTCTGAATTGTTGCATTTTCTGAGACATTTTTGTAATTTTATCCAATTTATTTAAGGCAATTTTTAGTGGATGTATATAGTCAGTTCACATACAGTAGGTGATGTACCAGATTTATAATAATTATATACATTTTAATTATTTTCTTTTCTTTTTGTGGTTTAAAAAGTGTTTATGCTTTATTTTATAATAAGTGTGACTGTTTAATGTTTGATTATTGATGTAGTCTCTAAAAAGTATTTTAAAGCAGAACTTAAGCTGGTGTAAGATTTATTATTATTATTAATTATTGTTATTGTTATTATTATTAATAATTATTATTGTTATTTAATTTTTTTTTATTTCATTTGGCTTAATACATTACATTTGAATGCACACAGGGTGTGTATAATTAACATTCCATTGCACGCTTGTCATATTTTAGTGCTGTTAACGGTCTAAGTCCATTCTGGTAATGCATACGAACAGGTAATGCATGTCTCATTGTGTTTATTTTAATGTTTTGCCCTCTCAGCTGTTTAACAATACTGCATTTGCTTTCATACATTTGTGTGCTACATGTTTAATGTTAGTGTTGATTGTCCCCAAAGGATTAATAAAGTATATAGTCATGTAGAGGGCTATTAGAGGAGAGTGGGATGGAGGGATGACAGAGTGGTGGAGAAAATGGTGTAATGGTGCAGAGGGTGGAGGAGTAGTCAGGAAAGAATAGAGGGATGCGGAGCGTTGGAGAGCGTGATAAAGGTAAAGAAAGGTTGGTAGAAGAATGCCAGTGGTTTCCATTCTGTGAGTAAATGAAGGATCCTTGAGTTCCTGCAGCTTATAAATCACCCTCTCTCTCTCTCTCTCTCTCTCTCTCTCTGTCTTTCACTATCCCTCTCTCTCTACACCAGTGAGTTATAGTGCGCTCTGGCTGCTGAATCCACTGCATGACGAGAGGAAGAAACAGACACACATCGATAACTAATCTCTCTTTATTATTTCTCCTTTGCTGAGGAGAACAAAAGGAGGAATGGAAAAGGTTTGGTTTGCACCAGTGATCGAAGAAATGTTGGGCAAACAAAAATCTTATGTCAATAATTAAATTTTTTTTCCAGTGAAAGGAACAGGAATATCCAAGATCTTTTTTTAAGGAGAGTCTAAAAGGGGGACAATCTCCTCTTCAATTTGAACACTGGTTTGTAGTTTGCAATTTCCTCCTCACTGTAAAAATCCTGGGCCTTTCTGTTTTGGTTCTTTCTCCCTCTATCATTTCACAAAACAAGTCAGGATTAGTTTTAATACATCGCAGCCTTGAAATACATGAAATATGCTGTAAAACAGTAGACTCCAGAAAAAAATTGACACTGAACAGTTACAGAAATAATGTGTTTAGTGCTTGCTTTATCCCTGAAATGGAATCATTACCCTTATATACAGTATTGCAGCCTCATCCGTCTGTATATAGCTAACCCATGAAAATTTTGTCATTTTTCCCATGTAACAAAAGAAGAGAATTTTTCAAGGATGTTTATTCAGCTTTTTTCCATACAGTTGTTTATAGTGACCACATCTTTAAGTCACTACAAAAATAACAGCGTACATGTTTGCAGTGACATGAGGGTAAGTAAATAATGATAGAATTTCAACATTTGCGTAAACTATCCCTTTAATGGATTTATGACATGAGATATTAAGATGCGAGATGATTTAGACACAGTAAAACAACAGTGTTATAGTCATTGATTGTTGTCCCACTGTTCTGAGAGTTTTTCATGAATTATGTTCATTATATTGATTTGCAGAATGCACCAATATTCAGCTATGGCCGAGTAGGTTTAATGAGAACAGATTGAGCTCTTTTATTTGTAGCTTGTAACTGAATAATTTCCAGTGAATGCTCCTCTTTCTCTTTATTGTCTAGTCCCTCACTTCCTGTCAGTCTGTTACTGAGGGAATTTGGAAACGGGACAGATGATATTCATAACTGTCTATCTGCCACACTTTGCAAATGCTCTGGCAATACAGATTAAATGATTTAATGTACAAATCACGCTGAAGGGACAGCTTGTTTATCAGTTATCAGCCGTAATTGAAATCTCTACGTGTAAATTTGCTGGCAGCTCTTTCAAACAGGTTCCTGTGGTGCGTGGGCCCTGCGCTATTGTGCCAGGCATTGTTGCGTTTCATTTTGTCTCATTTGGAGTGTCTCTCTGTCTCCATCTTTGTAGGTAGGGGATCAGATTCTGGAGGTCAATGGACGTAGCTTCCGGAGCATTTCTCACGACGAGGCCGTGCAGATCTTGAAGAATTCCCGCCACATGCTGATGACCATAAAAGACGTGGGGCGGCTGCCTCACGCACGGACTGTGGTGGATGAGACCAAATGGATTCCCAGTGCACAGATCGCTGAGAGCTCGGCCAATAGCAACGCCCAGAGGTAAAGCTTCAATACAGTTTTTCCAAAAGGAAACAAGAGTTTTTCTTTTAGAGAGCTGGAGTTCTCACCTGAACTCTTTCTTTCAGAGCTCAGGTTCTTAGTTGTGATTCATTTAAAGTATGTCATTCATACGCCACCAAAATGGAATTTTATCACCAAATAGATTTGCAAACTATTACACCGTTGCTGTGTCGGGCTGAAAAAGTGCCATGTTTTGATAGAGCCACAGAGCCACACGGGATGTACAATATGAACTTTTTCAGAGATGTTTCTCCCAAAATTTCTTACGAGAAATAAATGGCAGGAAGACAGACATACTGTAAATGAGACAATTGTTGACATACAGTGAGAGTACAGAGCTATAACATTAATGTTGATGGCATTGACCAGATACTATAATGTGCTATTGTAAACATTTTAATAAAAATGTTTGAGTCATATTGTTGAAAGCTCTTCTGCAACTTTAAAAGAGACGTGAGATTACTTGATTTTCTCAGGAATTTACCCATTTCATCTTGTGGCGTTCTAGGAAGAACAATTTAGATATCCAAAAGAATGGGATTTTTCTTGCCTATATATGCCAAAATTTGGCAATTTCCTTAGATTCGAGTTGACTTGCTTTCTTCTCTTTCTTTCACCTTCTTTTTGTTAGAAATGTAATAATGTTTTTTTGTTGTTGTTTTTCGTTGTTTTTTCGCTTGCTTTCATATGTAAAAAATATATAACTACAATATTGTTGTATTACTGTTATATATTGTTACATCTCAATAAACAGACTGTTAACATTTTTTTTAATAAAGTACTGTAATATACAGTATGCTTGGTAGAAAAAAGTCTCAATTTGTGATTGCATGTCAGGAGGTAAAATAACAATCAATGAGACCATTTGCTTCTGCATGCTGAAATCTGCCTTAAGAGTCAATCATTTTAATAGGTGATTATGAAATAAAATAATTAGATCTAACACCGTTTAATGATCCTTTACCTAATGTAATTTAGACAATTATTTGGAAAATTCATTTCTTTCCATTACTGTAATAGCTCCACTTTCATCTGAAATTCAGTTGTGGCCACACTCTTTTACTAAATTATTCTCAGGTCAGTGAATCTAGTCATACAGATAGTGGGTTTGAAAGAGAGTTTCTAAATATAGCAGTGAGACGATTTTAAAGCTAGATGCAGATGCTATTGTTAGAAGACGTGCCTTAGGCAGTGATGGTTGAAATATATCTATGACATGCTAGTGGGATGACAGTAGCACTATGACTCACAGCAGGGATCTCGTCTATCTTGCTCTCTCAATGGCCCAAATGGAAATGGGCTGATTGGGATCTCTGGAGGGTGTGCTCATTTCTAAAGTGATCCCCTGGATATCCGGCAAGGTGCCTTTTAGTTCCATGCTTCATTAGTCTTGTCTTCTAAGATGCGTTTTGATTACTTTCTTTTGTATCCACTATATAAGTAAGTCAGTCTCACGACAAGAGCACACTGTATGATATGGAAATCAAATATTAGTCAGCCATCGCAAAATAAACCCATTCAAAGTGATCAAGACCTTAATATGAAGCGTAACACTTATTATAAGGTACTTGCCAAATAAATTGCTACTTGTACATTCAATTTTGATTTGAAATCTTACTGCTCAAAGCTTCTCCTAAGAAAAATAGTATGTTATAATAGAAAACCAGTTTGCTTAGCAATGAGATGACATGGTACTAGTATTACAGTATTAATTATTAATCTCCATTCTGAGTTACAGGGTTTTTTCCCTGTCGACTAACCTTTTTGATTCACAATATGTAACCAATGAGCTATTCTTTTATTGGTATGAAAAGAGAAACCATGGAGTGATATGAGAGATGTGAAAGTATGGTGCTATGGACAGTGGTTAAATATCTGACTACTTAATGACTCTTGGAGATTGACCAATCAGAAACAAGTATTGCAGAGGGTCTTGTCATAATAAAAGTTGTTAGTTTATGCACTATTCATTTTTATTAATTCCATTTTACTTAACAAAATCTCTATCTCTCCTAACAGTGTTCTGCCTGTTGATGTTGGAGCAGGAAGTTCAGGAAAGGTAAGGTACAAAAATGCAATTTACATATACAAACCTGTTTGAATTGTTTACATTGCATTCAAGCATCCAGGGTTAGTGTTCTATTTAATATGCCATTTTATGGTTTTCCTTCCAAGTAATGAGTCTGAGAAATAAGAATACAAAAAGCTGATATTAAGGTCAGTGTGATATTGAAAATAGGAATGTATTGGCTCCGCATCATATTCCTTTGGTGTTTACCCACAGATCAAAGCAATCAAGCTTTTTAGTGTGCAAATTGAATAAACACTGCTATCTCAGAGTAAACACACTGTGTGTGTGTGTGTGTGTGTGTGTGTGTGTGTGTGTGCATTGTGCCTATGGCTGCTAACGGTGTCTGCCATACATGGCGCGGTCTATTGTCTTTGGGGGTTTTATCTGATGGTTGTTAAAGGATTTTCTTTGCACAGCTGTAAGGCTGTGATCTCTGCCTAACTCGCTCACATCACTGAGTGCAAAGGACAGCTCTGAGCTGGGAGACATCAAACTGCTCTGATTGTGTGAAGCGTCTGTCTCATCTGCTGAAGACAGGGAGGAGCACTTGCATCCTGCTGGGCAAATCAAAGCTCTCTTAGGGTTTGAGTGGCCTTCTCTGAGCTGTGGAGCACACATGATGTTTATCCACATGGTTGGAGTTATATTTTATCCAGGGTGACTAAAGAATGGTTAAAGGACCCTGTGGAAGAGAAAGCGACAGGGAAATTGCTGCATATGACACTTTTTGTGTGATTGTCACTTACTTTGTTCAATGTTCCACCCCAAAAATGAGCTTTTGAAGTGAATTGCTTTCTTTACCAGAAATGATTATGGATTTTATGGCAAGCGCTTGTGTGTCCTTACTTTCTCTTGTAACAGTCTTCTATTCCATTTCCCATACCGTGCAGTCCAAGGCCTGTCAGAGGACTCTGGCACAAGTGCAGGATTTCTGAGACACATTTATGTTCAAGGTGACCTACCAGATTGACAAGGATCTTCACTGAAGTAGTATTATAAACATATAGAGGGATGAGCCATTATCTGCAGCAGAGAAATAGAGGTGTCACTCAAGAGACCTGGGAATACAGCCTCACTCACACAGCAGTGATGTTAAACAGCGATAAACTAAAAAGTAGGTTCTTCAGTCATATTATGCTTAAAGTTGAGCATATTACATTAGGTGGTTGCCTTTTTTAGGGTTCTCATGGTCATTGAAAGCCTGAAATATCTGTGAAATTTTAAACTAGCTATAGGCCTTATTAATAAATGTCAAGGTATTAATAAATTAATATAATAAATACAATAAAAAACTCTTATAGTAAAATCATGGCAAATTATTTAATGAATATAATTTTTTTTCTGGCTATGCTCAGCTGTAAAGTATTTAATTATTTAGTATTTTTTAACCAGTATTTTTACCTTCAAAAAAAGCTGTAAGGAGCCTGTTCAATGGCTTTAAAGAGACAGTTCACCTAAAAATAAAATCATTATTTATTCACCCTTATGTAGAAGCTTATTTCCTCTATGGAAAAAAAAGTAAAACATAATTGCGACTTTTCATCTTACAATTCTGACTTTTTTTATTAATTTTTAGACGCGTAACCTGACTGCATGCACATGCAGAATTGTGAGGGGAAAAAAGTTGGCTAAAATATGAAATATGTCATTCCAAACTTGTGTGACTTCATTTCGTCTGTGGAACACAAAAGAAGATGTTTGAACAATGTTGGTAACCAAATAGCTTTAGTGACCATTAGCGATGACACAATTTTCATATTTGTGTGAATGATCCCGTTAACTGTGTCATATGAGCAGTTATTTTCTGTAGCTTTTGTATTCAGGTATATCCCTTGTGAGATTTTTGAAGACATTGGTAGAAAGATTGTTTTTTAATATGTGCTTTCAGAGGTTTTACTAATCCTGCAATTCATTATCAAGCCAGAGAGTTATTAGCGCATCACATCAAAAATGTGCAGTGTTGTATTGTCAGGACAAGAATAGAGAACCAATTTCGAACTCTCACCTCAAGCACCATGGCTCATTGTGTCAGAGCACCCGCACTAACCACTAAGCCCCTGCTCTGACTCATGCGCAGTGTTAACTATGTAAATAAATCGTTTTTCTAATGTTGCATGGCAAACCATTTTTAAACCCATGATGTTTTTCAGATAAATGTAGATTAAAAGATTTTCTCAAATTAAGCCATTGATTTATTCGGAGCAGCCACTGTGTTTCCTCTCACAGTAATCAGCTAGTTCATAATTGTGGATTGGAGACAAGACATACTAATTCATCGTTACTCAGACGATTACAGTCAGAACTGCTTTAGGCTTACACAATTACATTTGAATGAAGACAGTAAAATGCATGCCACGATCAATGCTGAAACATAAATTAAGCGATGATTTATTTGCTAATTTGTTGTTAATCCTTGTGCTAAAAAGGCAAATGGCGGCATCTATAAGCTATGGGGTTTAGAGTCAACATAGTTATCCTTTATCACATTTAAGGTTGAGTTAGAGAAGTGTTTTGACATTATATCCTGGAGCATAAAAGCTGAACTTACAGGAGACAAAGGGAGTGATTGGTTCAGAGACCATCAGACTTTTTCTATGGTTGTTGGACTCAAATTGTATTTTGTCTCAGTAACCTTAAGCTGTTTGTTTAGCTTGTTTGGTCGCGCGCGAATAACCCCTCTCAGTCCCAAACATGCTTTAGGCTGGGCTGCCTGCTGCCCTCCCCTCCTGTCCCCTGCGCCTCGGGCCTGGCACGCTTTTATTTTGTTGGAATGAACCTAAATCTTCCATCATTCAGCGAACAGACGAGAGGGCCTTGTCCTTCTAGAAAGTTTGACGGAACGGATACAATACAAGCTGTCCATCATGTGTAGCCTAAAGAATCAGAGCTTTAGCAAGCCTGAGCAAACCACTTCAATGGGACTTATGTAGGTCACTCAGATTTCACCTGGTTGAACACTATTGTGTGGTCTCCCGTCTCTCTGTCAGTGTCAGTAGGCTTACTGTAGTGTTGGGCGATATACCAGTTCAAACTGTAAACCGGTTTGAATTAGGCACACGGTATGATTTTTTTTTTTTTAAATGGCATACTGCTACTAGGGCTGGGCGGTATATCGAGTTTGTACGATATATCGATATTTTCTTTATAAGTGATTTGATATGAGGCAATACCGTTTAAATCGATATACAGTAGTTTGATACGAGCGCATCTGAAAATATAGCGGAGGACACTGACTGAGCTGCTGCGGAGAAAGTGCATAGTCCAATTTGTTCTAAATATGTGACAAGCTTCATATTAAGGCCTTTAAAAACTGGTAAGACATAGTTTATAGTTTCGTTTCGCATATTAGTCAAAGCGGCTCGGCCCGTCATATGCTCTGACAGAAAGGCTACATGTGCCGCTGACAAGAGACACAGGCTGCTCACACTGTTTAATGTGTTTGAGATGTGCTGTCTTCCTGAATGCATAACTTACATTTCACAGGTATATTCTCCATCTGTAAATGTTAGAAAGCCATGGAAATATTTCCATTTTTCTGTCAGAAGTGCATGAGCCTTCTGCTTTGGGATTCTCTGCTAAACTTCAGTGAACGAGCGCCGCCGCGCACATGTGTGCCAAACAGACAGAGCTCAATTAAATAGGAGCGCAATAATTCTGACTAAAATATACATTTCGCTGAAATATTCGTAGTTGGACAATAAATGTGAAGTAGAATTTTAAACCTACAAGTAAGTCTATTTTTATGATAGCACTGACTGTAAAGTGACTGTAATGGAATAATCAAAATAGCCTAACACAACTCTGTGCTTTTGTTCTCATTTATTTTCAGTTTTAGTTTTAGTGAATTTAACTTCCGCTTTAAAAGCATTATTTTTGTTTTTAGATTGCAATGTTACAATGTTAGAATAAAATGTGATTTGAACCCTTTTTTGCACATAATATAAAGGCTTACATGGTTACATTCACTTTATTTGTTTTCATAGCCTTTAATATGTATTGTTTTGTTGGACAACATTGGGCGGTAAGTGAAATATATATATATATATATTAAATACAGATTTTTTAAATCCAAATACAAAAACCAAAATGCCGAAATATATACCGTATATCGCAAATCGGCCAACAAATACAGAGATATGAATTTTTGCCCATATCGCCCAGCCCTAACTGCTACAAGTGGCTAAGCAACTTAGACAGCATCCTGAAATGAGAGGGGATGCATACACTTCTGACCAATGGTTGGAGAACTTTTAGAAATATTAATTACACACAACTAATTCTTTAACTGGGCAAATAAACCAACTGTAAATGGTCTTTAATGCCAAGTTCACACTGCACTGATTTTAGCCCTGCTTTTCACTCGCCGACAGGTTTTGCGAAATTGCAGACAAATGCCCGAAATTGGAGGCAACTCGGTGCTCATTTACGCGAGTGACAATCACGCAGTGTAAATGATCAAAGACGCAATCTGAGAGTATCGCAGGCATGCTAAATATCTGGACCTGTCAGCGATTCAAAATCCTGCTGTGTGAAATTAGTTCTGACTGAAAAATACACCGGCGATGACCTACAGAGAGCATAGGCAAGATACAAGGCAGCGGGAAGTTATATGAAACATAGTTTGAAACATATTCATATAGAAAAAAGTGATTTTAAATTGAAAAACAGGCTATTTCACAATATTGCTGTTTTGACTGCATTTTTGTAAATGCTGCAAAATAAATGCAGCCTTGCTGAGTATAAGAGACATCTTTAAAAAACATAAAAATTGTACTGACCCCAAACTTTTGAATGGTATTGTGTATGTTTGTGATTTCTGGAGTGTGAGTAAAAAACTGGATTGAGTGATCTGTTTCTTTAAGAATTAATATAGTGTTTTACAGAGAACAGTGTCTCTTTCTTTGTCTGTGTCACTCCCACATATTTTTATAGACTGTTTGATTGTCTAACGTAATTCATCACATTATCATGACAGAGAGGGTCTGTCTCATCTTCCTGTTCTTGACGTAACTCTCTTAGTCCTGTATCCAGCTCTGAGTCATAACTAATTTCAGTAAACAAAGTCAGACCTTGTGACATCAGCATCCATAATCATTGTCGTTGTAATGTACAATACATCCTGTAAAATCACTATGACTCTTCATACTTGAAAAGCAGCTAGAAATTTCTCAGTTCAGCAGTAGTCATGGTGGCATGTTTGTTGTGGGGGCCGAGTCTGTCAGTAGAGTGCTTGTGTGTGTGCATATAAACTTGAGAGTTAAATTGGCAGAGACACTCTTATCCCGGGTTATTGATTAAGGCTGGCACAGTGGAACGCCAAGGGACAGTTTTAGTGATCAGGGCTGTGGATCAGCAATATCCAGGAATGCGGGCAGTAATGAGGGATGGATGGTCCTCTCCAGACTCCTGGCATCATCAGTCTAGGCTCTTTGAGATAAAGTGCAAACCAGAGTGCCAAATGAAACCTGCTACTGTCCTTCATGTAAAATTAGATTTTTTGGCTGATATGAATGTTTAAAATCTGCTGTATGCAAGCTATTAAGATTTTATTGCAAATTACATTTTTCCCCCTGGTCACAGTTCAAACTTCTGGACTCAGGGCCTCATAAGATGTACATAAAACACCTACATGTGGATGTTTGATAATTTCCCAAATGTTCCTTTGAACGATTTATAAAAAGTCTGTACAGTATATCTACACTACCGTTTAAAAGTTTGGAGATTTCTTGTGTCTTTGAAAGTTTCTCACCAAGAAACCAAGGTCTCACCAAGGTTGCATTTATTTGATCAAAATTGTGAAATATTGTTACAAATTAAAACAACTGTTTTCTATTTAATGCATTTTAAAATGTAATTTATTTCTGTGATGCAAAGCTGAATTTTAGTGTCACATGATCCTTCAGAAATCATTCTAATTCATTTGGTGCTCAAGAAACGTTTTTTCTGATTATTAATATTAGTCGAAAATGGTTATGCAGCTTAATGAAGTGTGAAAAGTGTTGACATTTTTTTTTGTTACTAAGTTCAAATGTGCATTTTATAAATGAGACCCCAGGTGTCAGGTACTCTAATAAACTGTCAACATAAGCACTCTACCTTGCAACTAATAAATAACTATTCTCTGTTATTTATATAGCAGGCTGAAAACATGCATTAGCACTGCATAGAACACTGAAAAGGGGACAAGAGACACAACAGTTGGATGAAATAGGCTGTCTGTTACAGTCATACACATTTCATATTGAATAATTTGAGTCTGATCATGAATTGGTCTGAAGAAGTTTGTACCATTGAATATGTGCGAGTAGAGAAATAGAATAGTAAGTCCTTGAGGAATGAAAAGATGCTCCTGTTTTTCTTCAAATGGGAGCACTCAAGGACAGATGCAACTGAATACAAAAAAGTATTGATTTCGTAAGCAAACCACAACGCTTGTCACAGCAAACTGTTCTCTTCTCTATCTGTCTCATTCTCATTCTCTGATCTCTTCTCTTTCTATTTCATATCACTTGGATTAATTTGTAGAACATACAGTACTCCTGTTCCCAAGTTTTAGGGTTAAGATTTTTGTAAAAATGTTTTTGAAAGAAGTGTTTTATGCTCATCAAGGCTCCATGCATTTGATCCAGTCCAGTCTTCACCAGTGATACATGATCCATTAGAAATCTTAGTAATATCTGATTTGGTGCTCAAGAAACTTTTTTTTTTATTCTTGTGACTTGTTGACTCTTACTCTTGTGTGGAAACTGTGATACATTTTTCAGGACTCAGGAATGGTACTTATTTTTTTTAACAATGTAAATATCAAAATAATAAATAAAATAATTTTTGTAACAATCTAAATATCTTTACTATCACATTTTTCATCAATTTAATGCATCTTTGTTAATAAAAGTGTTAATTTTGTTTAAAAAAAAATCTAACTTTTTAATGGTAATGTGTATTTATATATAATTGTGAATATTCCATTTGACGTGCTGTTTTAGGCAGCATACAGTAAGTGCTTCTCAAAAGGTTTTCCTTCACGACTTGCACAGATATTATTTGAACTGATCTGAGCTGGCTGATGTCAATCAATGATGAACTGACTTGAACTGAAAACTTGAGTGTTTACTATTGCCCTCTTGCGTTATCAACACACTATTTTCCTGTTTAATAATGTAAAGCTGCTTTAACACAATCTGTATAAATAAAGATGACTTGACTTGATGACTTTTACATTGGACATTTGATGGCAACCCAATACAAACCAAAATTATTTATTGTAAGTAAACAAAATTACCTTTACCTTTCTTAACACTAAAATGTAGTATCACCAGGGGTGTGGACTCGAGTCACTTGACTCGAGACTCGACTCAGACTCGAGTCCCAAATTTGATGACTTGCGACTCGACTCGACATAATTAAAGAAGACTTGAGACTCGACTTAGACTTTGACAGCAAGGACTCCTTGTCTGTCTTGACTCGGGACTTGACTCGAGACTTGAATGCAAAGACTCGAGACTTACTTGTGACTTGCAAAACAATGACTTGGTCCCACCTCTGAGTATCACCATAATCTTGGCTAACAATATGCTAGTTTTGTTCCATGATATGGGCAGAATAGAAAACCACTTTTTAAATTTTTAATTGTTTGGTTTCAGAATGTTTTCAAAATGATTTAATTATCATAGTTTTACGAGTTATGATGGTTCCCTGGAGCCAGTAGTTCACTGCACAAAATAAATAGTGGTGAACACAACCATATTCATCCTCCTTGCAAACGAAGCTGTATTTGATGTAGTCTGGGTCAAGGTTAGTTTGGATGCACAACCATTAATGTCAGCAACAAAAGATATGTGAAGCATTTTCACCTCCCTTTTAGAAGTTGATAACTATGTGTGATTATATAATTAGATGCATTTAGTATTGTTTTTGTGCTGTTGTCTGAGACCATATCAGACCCATTTTAAGGTTACAACCCACTGCTCAGTGGATCCGTCCCTGTTTTCTCTCATGCTGAACTTTTAAAGGGTTGTGTTCTGAATGTCTTTTAAAATGTTTATTACTTGATGATTTTATTTCTCTCAGTAAGTCACCAGTTAGACACCGGGGGGCATAGATATACAATGCATGGTGTTTCAGAGTTTGTTGTTTTTTATAGCAATAGCAGCACTGGGAGATGTGGAGTGAATTGGATAGAGGCAGGAAGAGGAGAGAGAGAGGAAGCTTGTTGACAGAGATTGGAGTTATTGTGATGTAGGTTTGATTAAGGAGAATGTCTAAAAGTAGTAAGCAGAGAAAGGGCATGTTTTCAAAGAGAAGGTGCACGACTAGCTGAATGAGAGAGAGAGAGAGTTTGTTACCCTAGGGTATGTAGCATTTCATATTAGACATGGCTGGCTGGTGAGGTCTCAGCGTTGCAGTCCTGCAGCTGCTATTCTCTCTTTCCCATGAGTGCCTGCTGCCCACACACTGACCTGAACATGCACATTACATCAGTTCATATCAACTACATGGTGTGACTAATGATTGCACAACTATTTTATACCACTATAGCACTACATGCCACTATTTGCTTATTTTCATTTATAAAAATAAATGAGTAACATTGGCTGTATCCGAAACTGAAGCTAGCTGCTTTCCAAGACTTCAAAGGTAGCGTTTTAATACGTAATACCCCCTAAGGGTTTCAGACAGGCTTCCAAGACACCATAACATCATTCAAAATGATCTAAAAAAATCATGTGAGCTTAACAAGCAAACATTTAGTGACTAATATGCTCATTTGTGAGTAGAAGTCAAAAATTTCAATTGCATAAATATGACTATGAGACTGGTTCAGGGTAATTATAGTTAACTAAAACCCCAAAAAAGTGTTACTTGAAATTTTATTAAATTCAGATAGAAATGTAAAGCAGCATTTATTATTTTTATTTAGTAACTTACTAATACTAAAATAACTAATCTCAGAATAAAAATTTGTGAAAACTATATAGACTTAAAAAAAACAATAACCAATAAAAATGACACACACAACAAAATTACTAAAACTTTAATTAAAATTAAAATTAAAAAGGGAAACTAATTCAAAACATTAAAATAACTAAAATAATTTTTAATGCAATTTTGACAAAAAGCAATAAAAGTGACAAACACACACAACAACATTACTAAAACTTTAACTAAAATGAAAATGAAAAAAGAAAATTAATTCAAAATATTAAAAAATATTTTTTTAAATAAAATATTGAATATTGAGATATGAATTGTTATAAAAGAATACATGTATGAAACTAAAACCACCAGTACGTGGTGGCAAGTCTGTATCTTAATGAGTCATTAAATTATTTATTAAAACAATTTTTTCAAAACAGGGTTATTTTAGTATTAACCAAAAAATAAAATGAAAATGAAAAAAGAAAATTAATTCAAAATATAAAAAAATATTTGTTTTTTAAATAAAATATTGAATATTGAGATATGAATTGTTATAAAAGAATACATGTATGAAACTAAAACCACCAGTACGTGGTGGCAAGTCTGTATCTTAATGAGTCATTAAATTATTTATTAAAACAATTTTTTCAAAACAGGGTTATTTTAGTATTAACCAAAAAAAACCTAAAACATATTTCAATTTTAACTAAACTTAAAATGAAAGTGCAAAATATAAAAATAAAAGCTATTAATTAATTATAAAAACTATAATCTCAATGATACTGAATAAACATGACTGATTATGAATGAATTAGTTCAAAAAATAGATTCATTTAGTAACAAAACACTGATTTTGTGTGTTGTTCTGAGATGGAGTGAAGGATACATATGAAAGGATATGATTACAAGTCAAACAAATGAAGCCATCTATGATGCAAACATAAGAGATTTTACACGCCATGTAGACACACCCCCTTTTGTTTTATTTTCTCTCTTTTGCAGTCAATCTGTTGTAAAGGTGTTGTGCCAGCGGTCGGAGCGGTGCGCGCAGGAGCCTGGAGCTCACTGGAGGAGCAGGCGTTCATGCTTCTGACAGAGACAGAGAGACAGACCATGAGCTATTACATTCAAGAGTACCTGCGCGCACACATCGGTGTAGAGCCTCTGGCCATGGCCCTGTTTGAACTCTTCAACACACATGCCAAGGTGAAATGATTGATAACAACCCATAATGCATGTTTGTAATGTAATGCAAAATGTCACAGAAAAATCTTTATTTGATGGTCAGCATTCTATTCAAATGAAAAATGTATCATATTTTGGATGATTTCAGGTGTTTCTTTTAATGATCTCTTGGCTGTTCCTGCTCCCCAGCTGTCCTTGCTGGCTGAGGTGCGGACTCTGATCGCCCCGCAGGATCTGGAGCGATTCGACAAGCAGGTGTTACATCGCGAGATGGAAGCGTGGAGAGCTCGGCACAGAGGCCCGGGCCTCCTGCACCCTGACTCTATCTGCGTCACCCATTCAGAGGGCCACATTCCTGCTGCCTGCCAGCTGACCACTGCAGTCCCCGGCTACAACAAGGCACGTGGATGTGCGCGCATCAATTGGCGTAATGCAGTGCTGTGAATATTAGTATGCACTGGTGGACAGATGCCCTGTTTAAATATTACTCTGCTAATATTATAAGTACTTATATAAAAGTACAAAAGTATTTGCTTTTGAATATTTTATTTTGCTGAACAAAACAGTAATATTGTGAAATATTAGTACAACATTTTTTTTTTCAGGATTCTTTGTGGAATAGAATATTAAAAAAAACTGAATTTTTTTTTTCAATTACTAATTTCTTTACATTTCTTAAAAACATATCCAACTGACCTATCCAGGTCTGCTGTATAAAAACTATAGTTAATATTGAAATAATATTTATATGCATATATACATATTTATTTATAAAATCAAACTGAAAAAGACGCAAAACTCAAAAAAGATAAAGACTCAAAAAAGAAAAACGAGAGAAGGAAATAACACTAAAACCAATGTTTACACTACCATTCAAATGTTGGGGTTTGAAAAGATTTTGAAATGTTTTTAAGTCAAAATACAAATAAAAACAGTAATATTGTGAAATAGTATTACAATTTAAAAGAACTGGATTTTTTTTGGTTAATAGAAAAGGTTCCAGGAAAAGGATTCTTTAATAAAAAGTTCAAAAGAATAGCATTTATTGAAACTATTTACAGAACTATTAATTTTTTTAAAACTTTTGACCCCAAATGTTTGAAAAGTAGTTTATGCATCCAACTTACAAACTTTAGTTATATATAAATTAATTCATTCATTCATTTATTCGTCCATAGCTTTCAATGTTCTATCCTCATAATACCTATTAGGATGGAGAGAGATCTTTATTTGTAACTTTATTCAGACTGACTTCTACTGTGCCTGCATTGATTGGTCTGATCTGATATGTCTTGGTATTAGTATGATTTGATTCCAAACACTATTGTTAAATCTCACCCACACAAGCCGTAATTGAGCTGAACTAATGAAAAAAAGAGCTGCATCTCAAGTGGAGCAAGGGTTTCTTAAACTCGAACATCTTTTTGATTGTATTTTGTTCTGGAGTGATTGTTGCGGTGTACACTTGAGTCATTTCAGTGATTGTTTTTTTTTTTTTTTGCTTTGCCTTTATAGAATGAGTGCAGGTTGGATGGGAGTTTGATGCCACTTGAGAGTCTTGATTCTCTTCCTGATGTTTCTCTGGTGAGTTGTTTAAATTTTTTGCAGTGTGTCTGCATGCTGTTAGACAGGATTAAAAAAGAAACATTTTATGGAGAAAAAGCAGCCAACGTTAAAATGGCTTTTGTATTTTAACATTTGAATGTAACAAGAAAAGAAAGGCACATGATTTAGGATGAGGAAAACAAAATATTTATCCCTGAAATACAAAGACTGTCAAGGAAATTGCAGAAGATTTATTTTGTTTTTGGATGGATACTCATACACTTGTATTTTTTGAAATCTCAAAGATCAATAGATCAGTCTCATAGTTTGAAATTTAGTAGAGGCAGTGTATATGTACAGTATGCCTCTACTTGACCTTAAAATGTAAAAATGTACAGTATATGTAGAGTGTATTGAAGACTAAAGACTAAGATTAAAGTGCACTAAAATCATAATTTACACTACTGTTCAAAAGTTTGGGTTTGGTAAGATTTTTAAATATTTAAGAAGTCAAGTTTAAAGTATAATATATTTTTTTTTAAATCTTACTGACCCCAAACTTCTGAATGGTGGTGCAATTAATTTAATATATAATAAAAAAGAAAATATATATACCCAACATTGCAAATCTTCACATTGTATCAAATATAATTTTACTGTACACTGCCCATAAACATGGAGTAGCTAGCATATACCAGTCAAAAGAGCTTGTTACACTTCTGATGTTATTTTGATTTTGCCGAAATTGCATGATGACATCATAAAATATTCATAACATTAAATATATGCTGTTAGATTCTAAATCAGAACACAGCCATCTGACAGATTTCCCTTTTATTCAATTCAATTCAATTCAAGTTTATTTGTATAGCGCTTTTCACGATACAAATCGTTGCAAAGCCACTTTACAGCAAATTAAGTTTTATTTAGTGGTAGCTTATCAGTGGTGACTGTCAGTTAATGTACATATGGCAGAAATGTACGGAAAAATCAATTAAAGACGTAATCAAACAGACGATGAACACTATTAACAGCAATTATTATATGATGCAATCAAACTTATAGCAAAATGTGGTATTTTATATTATTCTTATTATTTTATCTAGTCAATTTGCTGAAGATTGAGTTGAGTTCAATAGATTTTTATCCTACCCTTTCTTGCTCTCATTTAATTAAGCATCAGTAGCCCAACATGAACTCTTGTAATCATAAACGATTATCTTGGATGAATCCGTAATTGACCGTCTTGTCATAAAAGTGTGCTTATGCTAAATTGTTGTACATAAAGACAACTCTATCATCTGTTAATTTCATAATGTGCTGACATTTTAGAAGAAAATGTCCCCTTTTAAAAGCTTTTAAATGTCAGAAAGTGTTTTTTTTTTCTCTGTGTTATCATAACCTCCCTGAATGATAATGCATCCTTTAATTGCCTGTCTTAGTAGTTGAAGGCAACAGTGAGGAGATAAATATCGACAGTACGTTTGTTTTATTTCAGGACAAGGTGCAGCCGTCATCCGAGTCACCCCCCTCGTTCAAGCCTCCCCCTCCACCTGTTCGACACGCCAGCCCTAAAAATCAGATCAAACAACCTTCGTCCAAGGTGTCCCAGACCAATCTGCTCTTTACCGCCCCCTGTAGGCGGCATCAGGAAAACCACACCCACAATCACTCGCACTCGCCCTGCTCTGCTCACACCTCCCCATGTACCATCCACCACACCGCCTCCACCTGCTCTGTCCGTCACACTCCTCCACCCTGCTCTCACCATCACAGCTCTCCACGATCATTATCCTACCACGCTAGCCCTTCTTCTGGACCCCCATGTAAAGATTTGGTTCAGTTTCTGATGAGCAGGCAGGCGGCGGTGCTCTCCCCACACCTAGAGTCTCCAAATCGTTCTAGAGAGGGAACCCCCATGATCTCTCCACGCTCCTCTCCATCGATTTCGCCTTCACTGCTAATGCCTGCGCCGCCCCCCTGTAGCCCTGAGAAGCTCGAGGGCTCCCCCTCTACACACAGCTGCGGTGCCGCCCAGACCAGCCCGCTACACCCCGAGCCAGAGACAACAGAGGAAAGGCCTCAGCCCCAACTACGAGGTGAAGACACTCTAAGATTGTCATAATTTACTCACCCTCATGTCCTTCCAAACCTGTATGACTTTCTTCTGTGGAACACAAAAGAAGATATTTTGAAGAATGAACCATTTCGGTTACCGTTGACTTCCACTGTATAAACAAAAACACGGAGACATTTTTTTTTTCAATATTCTTTATATATATTATGTTCAACAAAAGAAAAAAAGTAACAGAAGTTTGGAACAACATGAGGGTAAGTAAATGTTGATAGGATTTTTTATTTTTGGATAAATTTTGGAGTTAGCACTGAAATTGAAATAATTATGTGGTATATTGATTAATCAGATTAAATTCCATATATCAGTATTTTCTGAGAAAAACCTCTAATTGAAGATGATTTAAAGACTGGGTAACAATCTTAGATCTTGATCTGAATGCTCTCAAATTAACTCTTAAAATCTTAAAACCAGTCACATTCAAACCTGAGTAGAAGCACAACCAGTGTAGTTTTATTCACAAACAAATTAATCTTTTAAAACAAATCTTTTTAGTGAATCAAACACATGAAGAGCAACCAGTGTAATCTGATCCATGGACAAATGACTGAATTATTCAAAAAGGCATGAACTTTCAACTGTTAGTTTGTCACAATAAGTGTTAAAGTTTACTTAAGTTGGTATTCACAAAACATTTTTGATGTTGTGTTGATGATTATACTGTATATAATAAATAGTTTTGTAAGTTTCAGAATTTATATTTCTGAAATATATTAAGTTTTCTGTATTATTTACAGCATTCGTTGTGGGAGAAAATGGAAAATACACAAGCAAAATGGAAATATAACGGCATGTATCTCAATTGAATCAGGGGAATCTGTATTGATAACAGCCCTATTGAAAATTGGCTAAAGATAAAGGTGGTACTAATATTTCTCTTTAGAGGCTTTAATTTCTCAGATGGCAGGATACCTTATTACAAATTGTACATATGGTCATAGGGCATCTCATTCATCTAAAATAATTAATTACACTCATTTAACATACTAAATTGACAGCCCTAGTAGGTCCATCAAAACTTCAGCACTTAGGGAATTCATCCAGCTTCTATAACTCATTTCCGATCCAAATAATGTGTGAGGTCCACATAAACTCTGAATGCAGATCTCTAATCTGTGAAAGCTAAATTGTGGGGTTATTTATGGCTTTGTGCTCATTTGTCTGTATTCCCAGGAGCCACGCTGTCCCAGCTGTCAGACAGCGGACAGACTCTGAGCGAGGACAGTGGAGTGGATATCGCAGAGGCTGGGGGGCTGAGTAAGGACAGCAGCCCGCGACCAGGTAAACCTCCGTTCCTCCAGGTCACAGGTGACACACGCAGAGCGGAAGGACTCGCACAGGCCTCCGCAAAACAGGTGAGAGAGTTCTGTTGTTTAAATGAGTTATAATCATTTCATCATATAAATAACCATTATACAGAAGTCTTTTTTTAGTCTTGTTTGCCCTGCTGCTGTTAAAAGGAGGTTTTGGTTTAGCTCTACATTTCATGTTAAACTCTTCATTCGTGTCTTCCACCTTCCTTGAAAATCTGTCTTTTTCTTTCTTCTCGAGTGTGACGTCTAAAGTAGCTTCCCTGTTTGTCATTGTTTTAGATGAGAGTAATGGAGCCTACACTTGTACGGGTGCCCAAGTGTGCCAGTACACTGGGGATTGCTGTTGAAGGGGGTGCCAACACCAGACAGCCTCTGCCGCGCATCGCGACCATACAGGTGGGTCAGAGTGGGTCACAGTTCAAAGCCACGGCTAAAAAAGATTAGCTTTTTATGAAAGCAATCCGAGAATGCACAACACCAAGGTTATTAAAAATCTTGTATAAATACATACACTACCATTAGAGTCAGTAAGATTTGTTAATTAATAATCTTATTCAGCAAGGATGGATTATTTTGATCAAAAGAGAGAGTAAAGAAATGGATTGTTACAAAAGATCCCTTTTAAACTTCCTATTCATTAAAGAATGAATTGATTGGCATTCTGTAGTGTTCACATATTTTTTTTCTGTAATAAATGTGAAATGCTAGCATAAAAGTAACACAAAGTCTTTTGTTTTTTTTGAATTACTATTCCCACAAAGTATCTTTTGTTCTTCTGATGGAAAGGGTAGCTAATGTACTGTGAAGGTCTGATATTACACCCATCGAGGTGCAAGATACAGTTGTAACTTATATAATGTGGTTTTAAAAAAGCTTTTAAAAGCTGTTGCCTCATAGTCACATAAATGCTTAGGTCAGTAAAACCTGCTTCTCCATCATATGACTAAAATTACAACTCTGCATGAAACAATTTCAGTTTTCTTATTAAAAATGAGTCATGACACGGTTAATACTTTTGCCATTAGATAGACCCCCTGTCTGTGCATCAAGCAGTATTAAGATGGTAGTTTAATCTTTAGTCATAACTTTACAGGAAGTTTTAAATATAAAGGAGCCAGTTTGTTTTCCTCTCATTTCTTTTATGACCTTTAGCCCAGCATCTGTTAGCTAATGGAGCGCATTAGCATATTCAGGACCCGTTTATGTACATGTCTCCGTATGCTCACTTCTCTCAGTGTTGTGTTCACTCAACATGAAGGTGAGAGATTTCCCCTTTAGCGCAAAGTGGCTTTGCACGGAAATATGTTTGCTTGCATATTTAAAGCAGATTGGGATCAAGCAGCTAGTGATATGACTATAGCTTTAGGGGATGAAAAAGTAAGATAACTTGTATCTAATAGCGCTTATAGATATGTCTGATACCGCTGACCAAACACAAAGTGCTGTAGCGGTGTTGCTGTATTTGTATTCTTTGTTGATTGGTAGAGTATCCTTGAAATTTGCATAGACTGTCAATTTACACAATCAGCATTTGTAAATTTCACCATTGATAGGGTCACAGGAGAACAAAGCCTGTCACAGACCCATCTGGACATGTTTCATAATTAAAGGCGCAGCTTTTTATGTCCTGAGACATCACACCTGTCTCTTTGACAGCCCTGGGCTCTTAAAAAAGAGTTTGGGATGCAGCCCACTATTTAGCCAAACAGAAACACTCAAGTTTGGAACAGATTACAGTTACATTTATTTTGTCATTAAATTAGGTTACACTTTATTTTAAGGTGTCCTTGTTACAGTGTAATTATACATTTAAGTACTGAGTAGTATTAATTAACTACATGTACTTACTATATGGTTAGGATTAGGGTTTAGCTTAGGGTTACTTGCATGTAATTATGCATAATTAATTGTTAGCGCTTATAGATATGTCTGATACCGCTGACCAAACACAAAGTGCTGTAGCGGTGTTGCTGTATTTGTATTCTTTGTTGATTGGTAGAGTATCCTTGAAATTTGCATAGACTGTCAATTTACACAATCAGCATTTGTAAATTTCACCATTGATAGGGTCACAGGAGAACAAAGCCTGTCACAGACCCATCTGGACATGTTTCATAATTAAAGGCGCAGCTTTTTATGTCCTGAGACATCACACCTGTCTCTTTGACAGCCCTGGGCTCTTAAAAAAGAGTTTGGGATGCAGCCCACTATTTAGCCAAACAGAAACACTCAAGTTTGGAACAGATTACAGTTACATTTATTTTGTCATTAAATTAGGTTACACTTTATTTTAAGGTGTCCTTGTTACAGTGTAATTATACATTTAAGTACTGAGTAGTATTAATTAACTACATGTACTTACTATATGGTTAGGATTAGGGTTTAGCTTAGGGTTACTTGCATGTAATTATGCATAATTAATTGTTAGATATTAGTAAGTGCATGTAACATGTGTAACAAGGACACCTTAAAATAAATTACATAATTCCGTTACATGTAACTAGTTACTCCCCAACACTGTTTACAATAATTGCATGTAAAAAAAAATACAGTTGTATTGTGCAGTTATGATACTATATATATATATATATAGCGATTCAGTTTACAGCAACTTCATGAATTAAAAGACAAAACACATCTTGTATTTACTGCAGTATTTTTGGGTAAGGTACATGACTATCTTGCGAGATGCGAATGCACCTGAAGCCGTAATTGCTACTTTCAAACCCCCAAAAAACGAACTTCCCAGGAGGATCTGAACACACCATAATTTGTTGGCTGGTCTATTTGAAGCAGCAACTGTGAAAAGAAAAGCTTTTTAAAGTGCTGTTTGATACCATCAGATTATTCCTCTGCTTATTTGATTGTCCTGAAAATGCTGACCTTCACAGGAAGGAAAAATTATTAGAAAAATAGAGATTTATTTTCTAGCTTTAAGCTAATGAATAGTAAATGGATTTGTGCTTGATTGTCCTTGATACCCTACACCAAGATAATACTAATATTTCTCCATTTATTAAAATGCCATATTCAGAGAGTGAATTGCTTGTCTTGGAAAAATGTGCTGTGGATCATATTTCAAAGCCCAAACAGGCATAATGACTCTTCATTAAAGCAGTATTTTTTAAAGCATCATACAGTATGTGACGTTACATGTCGTCTGACACGGTAACAAATTGAATACAACCTGAAAACCGCACTGCACAATGAGGCGATGTCATAAGTGTAACCATGACTACCGCACTTCCAGACTCCTTAAGAGCTACTTTGGTTTTAATCAAATGTTCATTATGAGAGCATTCACTATTTTGTCTTTATGAGACACGTACAGCTCAGGTGTCATGTAGAGAGTTAAACTGTAATAAATGTTGACAAATTAGATCAGACTCCAGCAGGATTATAAGACAGTGGTGTAACCCATTCTCATGAGTTTGTAGCAGGACTATTAGACAGGCCTCCCTCCAGCTCAACAGAAGATGCTCATCTTGGTTATCTCTTTCTTCCTGTCCTCAGGCGCTTTATCTTTATACTTTGACAAGAGGTCAGCTAATGACCCGTCAATATGAAGTGCCATATCTGAGAGAGCAAGCGGTCATTTTCTCCCCCATTTCCCACTTGTCTTTTCTCTCACACTTTTGATAGATGATCTCTCTTTGTGGAAAGTTTGAGACAGCTGCTTGTTTCTCTCTTCTTTCTGTCTCTCAGAAGGGGGGCTGTGTGCATATCTCTGGACAGTTTCGGGTGGGTCAGGTGATTCTGGAGGTGAACGGCGTGTCGCTTAAAGGCATGGAGCACCGGGACGTAACTCGGGTCATTGCCGAGGCCTTTAAGACCAAAGACAAAGACTATGTCGACTTTTTGATCGCCGAGTTCAACTCTGCTCTGTAGAAGTTGTCCCTTGAGAGTTTTACTAGACGCCACTGTGAAGACTTTACGTCACGTCCACACAGAGCGGCTGAATGAGTCATGCTTGTCATATCTGAGTCACAGTTAGCTTAGAGTTCAAAAGCTGCAACACGCCCACCTTACGTCTGTGTTCTCGCTATAACAACGAGCAGCTGCCACACACCTTCACTGAACCTGTTCCTGGTATGTTCCAGTGGATGATCTGCAGAGCCAAGACTGTTGCTGATATGTTTGATAGGACGAGACCAGGGTTATATCAAGTCTGTCAGATCTGTGCCATAAACACACACACACACACACACACACACACACACACTACCGTTAAGTTTGGGGTCTGTATGATTTCTTGAAAGAAGTCTCTTATGCTGTCTTATCTGTGTATATTTTAATATATTTTACTCCATATACAGCCACATACTTTAGTCTGTGTTGTTACATGATTCTTCAGAAATCATTCTAATATGCTAATTTGGTGCTCAAGAAACATTTCTTATTATCAATGTTGAAAACAGTTGTGCTGCTAAAATTTGTTTTGTGGAAATCGTGATGCATTGATACATGATAATTTTTTTCAGGATTCTTTGATAAATGAAAAGTTCAAAAGAACAGCATTTATTTGATTTTTTAAATATGACAATGATCAAGTCTGTATTGTCACTTTTGATCGATTTTAATGAATCTTTGCTGAATAAAAGTATTAAGTAAAAAACGTACTGACCCCAAACTTGAATGGTAGAGTTGTGTATATATAATCAAATCATTCATTTCATTTCTATTCATATTTATTATATAAAATATGAAAAAATATATATTTATACAAAAATATATAAATATACAGATTTGCTATTACAGTTCTTAAGAGAAAATCACATATCATTTTAATCATAATATCAAATGACATATTCATTGTTTTGGAGGCGTTTTTTTTTACTCTTCCTTGATTCCAGAGGTGTTTAATATATTTTTTGATGAAAGGAACTGAATTCAGTGGAAGTAGTGAAATGAAGTGATATTAATACACTGTTGTAATATGTGAATGGAGATCAGAGTTATTCCTGGACAGACGGAGCGAGGAGGAGGATTCTAGAGTATCTCACTGTTTTCTCATTCTGTTTTTTCTTTTCTTTTCCTCTCTGTCTCTCTCACAGACACACAAAATCAGGCTGTTTTTTAAAGCTCTTATGTCAGTGTGCATTCTTCAAAGAGAGGTTATAGAGAGGAATAATGAAGAAATGTATGGCAGTATTTTTTGAAGAGATCAGATGTTCAGTGTCTGAATTATATGTAAATGCATGGCTCCTGATTATGCAACATACAGAGAGAGTTATTGTACATAGGTAAAATAATGTAAAGCTGTATATATTTTATTTATGTAATATATTTTTTGCACATACTGTTGATATAATGTTTTCAATGACTGCATCTAAAACATTAAAACCCTTAAATATGAAACCAAAATATCAATACTTAGAATAGTAACATAGAAGCATATTAGTTTTTCAACCCAAAGGATGTTGTTCCCTTCAGATATTTTATTCATATACCACATACCATTATGCAGATAGTCTGTCTTTAAGTTGATAAAGATCTGCTTTTTGTTAATTCGTTGCTTGTCATTTGTTGTACTTTGCAATGTGAAAAACACATAATATTGTAACTTTACAGGAACTAAATTATCATGGGCTGATTACAGAACAACAGCATATAAAGACAGCGCACAATCGGAGGGTATCAATATTATGCCTGAAATATTTATGATTTATGCCAAACTGGAAAAGAGACGAAAATAAATATTTAAAGACTGAATTAAATGTCTGTAATTTATTGATTTTTTTTTTTCTTGGTTAAATCATATTGTTACATTCAAAATGTGTTCATCTGGCTTTGTTTTCTGATGAAGCTATGTTTTGGTGCCCTCATGTGTTCAAATGAAGCACATGGTTTTAATTTCAAAGGTTAGCAATGCTTGTAAGGCAGTACTAAATTTAAATATATTATACCTATTAAATATATTATACCTCCACCCTATAATACCATATACTTTTTGCAATTAATTTGGCTTTTCTGCAATAATGTGACACCATTCAAAGTCTTGTAGGTCATTTCAGATTTATATTTATTTTGAACATTATTCTTTTTGAAGAGTTTGAAAATGTCTTTAAATAGATTGTTATAAAGAAAATGAGTCCGAATCAGTAGAGGGTTTTTTTCTTTCTTCTGATTTGTCGCTCTTCATTTTTCTATTTCTTATATCAACATATCCAACTGTGTTGTATATATTAAATGCACATTCAGATGCATCTGCCTCAAAACCAAATGAATAATATTATAACTGAACTAATGTGTATTTTCTATCATATTATGAGAAATACCCTAATGTGTGATGTGCATGGCATGAAAAATGTCATAATCAGGAGATGTTTAACAGAAGCCAGTTTATTTTACTATATGCACAAGACAATAGTTTGCACTTCATAACCTCTGATGTGTTAATCATGTTGAATATATTTGAATATGGCATATAGATTATATATTTACACAGCATGAATGTGTATTCTTAGCGTAAATAAAAGATTTTGACATAAAAAGCAATCATTCTACATTACTACACAAGGAGCAGTCGAGATGTAAAAGAAAAATAGAATATCAACAAGGGAGGTTTTACTATATTAACAGGACTATATACAGGACTAGTAACTATTATTTCCAAACCACAATATTAAAATAACACAAAGCAGTTGATATTCACAATGGGACATCCAGTATTAAGTTGATCACGCAACAGACACACATCATGCTTGGCAGACACTGCATGGCAGGTCAAACTACTGATTCAATTCAAAATAACTTTACAGAAGAGGAAACTGGAATCTCAAACTCAATTTGCTATGCTGTGTTCAAATAATCTTCTCTTATTATTTTATCTACCTATGAAGTACACTCTCAAGTCGACTGGTCCCATAATATCAACAATGGAGAATGACACCTAAATAATTCCTTATATTTGACAATGATCTTTGATGTAATCTGAGGTTAATATTAAGGTGATTATAAATGTAACAAAGGCTATTTATGTAATATACTTCACTATAGCCTATTGCTGACAAGGGAAGTGCTGAAGGGTGACAGACTGCCTGATATATTGTATGGTTGTGTAAGTTAAGAAAAAAATCAGTCTTCGTAGGAACATGTCACTGAAGACATCAGAATCGTGAGTCAGGGCAATGACGTCACCACATTCTAAAAGGAAAGAGAGAATCAAATTGGATTCATGCTATAGTAAATGAAAAGATATCTACATAATGCCTCTTTATTAAAAGTGTTAAATGTGATGATAAAAATGTCAGCAGATTTTTTATATTGAAGCAATAGTGTCATTAAAAATGCCTTTAAAATAAATCCAATTTAATCCATTTAAAATGATAAAGGTCTGACCTTTTTTTCTTGTCTTCATCACTTATCTTCTGCAGGAAGCTGGTCCTCGGGGGCCGCGTTGGGGTCCAGGAAGTCTTGGTGCTGCAGATGCTTTAGGTACTTAACAGGAGTGATGGTGTGAGTGGAGCCTGTGAGGGAAGTCAGAAACATGATCAGGGCTTTTATTGGGACCAAAAAAAAAATTTTTTTAAACCATTAACTCACATTGTGAGGGTGGTTGAATGCAGTTCACTAACCACAGATATACAATGATCAGTAAACATTTATCTTTTCTGTCACTTACTGCAGTGTATATTCATTGTCAAGGCAAATGACAATGTTTTTATAACCATAACCCATGTGTCCCACAGCAGAATGCTTTTGATGCTCAATAATTTATATTTACATTTACATTTAGTCATTTAGCAGACGCTGTTATCCAAAGCGACTTACAAATGAGGGCAATGGACGCAATAAAAATCAACAAAAGAGCAATGATATACAAGTGCTATAACAAGTCTCAGTTAGCTTAATGCAGTACACGTAGCAAGGTTTTTTTTAATAATATAATAAATAAAAAGAAAACCGATAGAATACAAAAAGATTAGAAAGCTAGTGTTTTTTTTGTTTTTTTTTAAAGAAAACAAGCAGCAAATGAATAGAGTGCAAGTCTAAAAGGGACAAGTATTTTTTTTAAAGAATAGAATTAGAATAGAGAGTGTTAGAGTTAGCACTCTAACTCTGACTTTAGGTCAGCAAAAAAATATACGTTATAGTTAAAAAGTTTGGGACTGTAAGATGTTTTAATGATTTTGAAAGAAGACTGTTGTGCTAACCAAGGCTGCATTAATTTGATAAAAAAATAATAAATAATAAAAACAGGAATATTGTGAAATGTTGTTACTGATATTGTAAAATAATTGTTTGCTATTTTAATATATTTTTAAATGTAATTTATTTCTGTTAAGTCAACATCTTCAGTGTCACATGATCCTTCAGAAATCATTCTAATATGTTGATTTGGTCCTTAAGAAACATGAATTATTATGAATGTTGAGAATGGGTGTGCTCCTTAATATTTTTGTGGAAACATAATTGATACAAAATATTATTGGATATTATATTAAAAAGAAAACTAAATGACCCCAAACTTTTGAATAGTAGTGCATAATACAAAAAAGTCTGATCAAATTATCGCTTGGAATTTTTAAAGGCACAGTGACTCAAGGCAGAATTGTGTAATGCTGTCTGTTGTAATGGTTGTCTCTCAAATAGTGAGTCATTGATAGTTCTGCGGTGTCAGAAAGGGCCCTCGAGCACTGCAGCCCACCGATGAGAGCTTCCCATTTGCCATTGGCCTGCGTGACCTCATAGACACAGCGCATCTCGCTGTAGGTCACACCCCCAATGATGAAGACGATGATGCGTGGGCCGTTGCGTATCTCTCCTGGGCTCTTGTTTTTATGCCAGTTTCCATAACGTGCACTGAAAATGGACAGCAGTGGTATTATCACTAGATATTTGACTAGATGTCGTCGCATACTGAATCCATATGTTTGTGCTGGTAATCCTACCTGGTAGCTGTGGTCGTCTTTGAGGATGCTGTGCGTGTGGAGATGTAAGGGTACTGTTTTGGGTCGAGCTTGTCTTCAATGGCATCCTATCGTAATATAATTAGGAGAAATTAAAGTAAAAGAAAGATGACATATCCAAAGTGAGGCAAGTACTGTTGGTTCAGCTCACCTCCATGATGTCTTTGACCAAAGGAGTCCACCGGGAGAGCTGGTACGTTTGCTCACTGATTCTTTCCTTGCGGTCAGATTTCTTCCCTTTACGTGTGGTTGCTTGCTGTGGATACGTATTTAAAGAGTTATGCATTTCGACCTCAGACATTATGATTAGTGATGCACTGTATTCTGGTTGAATAAGCTGATAATTATTTTCACGTTATGGCTGATAACCGATAAATGGCTGATATATTCTATATTGTCTAAAAACAAGCTAGAAATAAAATTGTTTTTGAAGCTACAAGTGAATGTATGCTTTACAATATTAATATTCACACTATTCATTTTGAGATTTACTTAAAGGGGTCATATGATGCGATTTCAATTTTTCCTTTCTCTTTGTGTAATTAAAGATTAAGTGAGTACAAAGTCTAATCTCAATGTCAAAGTAGGTGGAAATGATGGCCAATATATATGCTGCCATTCAACAGTTTGGGGTCAGTAAGGTGTTTTTTTTTGTTTTTTTTTAAGAAATGAAGACTTTTATTCAGCAAGGATGCATTAAATTGCTCAAAAGTGACAGTAATTTATAATATTACAAATGATTCCTATTCCATATAATTGAACGTTATATTCATCAAAGAATCTTGTTAAATGTATCATAGTTTCCACAAAAATATTAACTGTTTTCAGCATATTACAATGACTCTGGAGTAACGATGCTGAAAATTCCGCTTTTTAAAATGGTCAGAGAATGGAGGGGAACATGTTTTGTGTGTATTAATGACCTCTGAAATGATGGGAACCCCCATATGGGCCATATTAGAGATGATGTCGCTGTCCTCTGGAGGGATCTGAGCATGCTGGAGGAGCTTACAGAGATTCTCCTCTGACACACCTATGAGACACACACACACACAATCAGCCAGGAATAATTATACATAATTATACACATAATTATAGAGTTTGAACTGGTTCTAAATCCTTGAAGCCCAACATTACAGAATTATGACAGTTTTGCTCACTGTTGTGCGATATTAGTAATGACTGTGTGTACAAACTGTACATGTCAAACGTACCACCCCCATCTCACCCACACACAGCAAAACAGATAGAGAATACAAAGCACTGGCCATTTTGCAGCTCTCTCACCATTCTTGAGGAAGATGTAGAGCAGGATGATTTGGATTTTGTCCATGATGGTAACGTTGGCGTCTAGTAGGATGGGTACGATGGCTCTCATGGGATCTTTGATCTTCTCACCCTCTGCATCTGTGCCCATCGCTAGATCCTAGGACAGAGCACACAAACACTATTAACGCTAATTAATATGACAGTTTGGTGCAAAAAGACCAATCTAAAATAAGCTTTACCTGCTCAACACGGCACAGTTTGTCCACTGTGCCCTGGTAATGCTTCATACAGTCTTCTGCTAAGTGCAGGTGAGTTGAATACTGCAAAATTATAAAACCACCATCAGCAATATTATCCCCTTGAATCAGTTCATATAAAACATGTAAATGATCTCAGTACCTTGCTTAACTCTTTCTGGTACTGTGGCATCTTTTTAAGCATTTGGGAGAGCTCTTTCATGGTGGTCTGGAAGATACCAAAACACTTTGTCAGTTATTGGCAATAATCAAGAAATCGCAGTTAATGTTTGATCAGTGATAAATAACACACCTTCTCTCCTGTGTTCATCTTTTTGCTCGCAGAGAAATCCTTAAGTGATTTAGTCACAGCCCTAAAAGAGAGAAACTATTATTTTTAATACATTATTATTATAATTATTCATTATTCATTTAATTAGTTAGAATTGTTCAAACTTTTTCTTCTTTAAAAATCAATGAATTTTATGCTGTTTTTAATTTGCCAGTATAACGTATAAAAGTAACGGTAAAAACATTTATAATGTTACAAAAGCTTTCCGTTTGATATTGTATTTTAGAATGATTTCTGAAGGATTATGTGACACTGAAGACTGGAGTAATGATTGCCAAAAATTGGGCTTTGCCATCACAGCAATAAATTATATTTTAAAATACATAAAAATAGAAAACAAGTTATTTTAAAGGCAGCGGTGATAGAGGCAAATGCAAATAGCTATAGATTCTATTTACACTGTTAAAATATCAGGATTTTCTGCTATTTATACTACTTATTGCGAATATTGGCAATTATCAGCATCTCAGTATAAAACAGTATGCAACAATAACGTATTGAGTGTAAATTATAATTTTAATTCAAATTATTAAATGGATGCTACCTTATTGGGAAAATAATATAAGAAAATAATATAAAATAATATATCCCTCCTTTACACCTACCCTAACCCTACCCGATACTTTATTTTCAACTTTTCGATTATTTCCTTCATTTTTATCGAAAATAAATGCCTTTGCGATGTGATATGAGATTTGAAAAGAGAGAAAAAAAAGTTTGGCAAAAGGCGGATTCGAACTCGGGTCGATCGCGTCAAAAATAACGATGGCACACGCTTTACCATCTACGCCACTAGGAGCTGTTATGAGATGATCTTTTTTTGTAGTGTTGACAAGCCCAATCACACATTGGTGGGCAGAGTTTGTATAAATAGCCTCTGCCAACAAGACGGGCTATTTGCTTTTAGTAATTGTAATGATATTTAACAATATTACTGCTTATCAAATAAATGCAGCCTTGGTGAGAAAGGAACTTATTTAAAAAACATTTACAAATCTTAACGACCCCAAACTTTTGAACGGCAGTGTATATATATATATATATATATATATATAAATGTCAACCTGTGTAGGACTGAACAGACTTACGTGGACACCTCTGCTATGTGTTTATGTCTCAGAGTCATCCACAGGTCATCATCTTCATCCAACAGCACCTCCTTCATACGAGTGTCACCCATTCCACTGGTCTCATACCTGATTAACACATATGCACCATCAGCATCAGTAAACTGCCTATAGCACACATGTACAGCATGATGATGAATGGAGATATTAACATCATGAAAAGTCAACCACTTGGACTTGACCGAAGGTCAGTTGAAATGATCTGAGTGACCTCAGAGCAGTATATAGATGGAGTTATTACTTGTAGACATCATTCTCAATGGGCAGTAGGTCATAGGCCATGGCCTGAAATGTGAGCTCGTGTAGAAGTGGAGAGACAGGGTCAAAACCCCGATCCAGAATCAATAGCTGGGAACGTGCTTTATCAGGTCCCTGTGAAAGAGAGGAAAAAAGAAAGAGACAAAGATGGAGCACAAAACAGTACAGCAAGGAATTAAAGTTGGACAGTGAGAAATTAAGGTCACTGGTGCCAGACAGAAGCAGTTTATGTTCATCATCCGAGACAAAATATTGTGCTACAAGCTCTGAGACTCACCTCTCCCAAAGTGGGGTCATCTGCTTTGTAACCGTCCAGTTTATCCTGAAGCATCTGGGCCAGGACGGCATTGTCTTTGTACTCTCTTCAAAACATAGCAACATGTAGTCAATCATGATGTGGACCATCACTGACCTTCTAGATGAAATATAGTCGCTATAATCTGTTATATCAGATTTTTTAAATAACAGTTGTGTGCTTGTGTTTTTTATATTTTCTTTGCAGATGGCTGATGATGCTTGGAGTTACATCAGCAGATGGTGTTTATGAGAATGTGAGATTGATGTGTGTGCTGCTTCTTCCTCTCTCACCCTCTGTATCTAACAGCTGGGTACTCTTTCATTGTGGCGCACAAGGTGGCTATTTGCTCGGCTAAACGCTCCAACACCTGGTTCTTTACATCAGCTTTAAAGGCTGATGATGCTTGGACTTACATCAGCAGATGGTGTTTATGAGAATGTGAGATTGATGGTAAGACGTTCATGTGTGTGCTGCTTCTTCCTCTCTCACCCTCTGTATCTAACAGCTGGGTACTCTTTCATTGTGGCGCACAAGGTGGCTATTTGCTCGGCTAAACGCTCCAACACCTGGTTCTTTACATCAGCTTTAAACGGGCTGTAGAAATCCTGGAAGGCATCTTGTCTGTCCACTGAGAACACCTGAGAACAACGTAGCAAAAATATATACATTTATTCTTAACATCTCAGATCTTCAATGAGATTCAAATGTATTCAAACAAAAAATATGTTCTTCAGGTTACATGTTCTGTCCCTAAATCAGTGGTTTTCAGCCTTTGTGAATTAAAGGCCCCTCACTGTCAAGACTATATTTGAAGATATTTCTGATGCTACTGCTGTAACAAGAACAGCTAACATATTTATCAACAGAAACTAGGAGTGACAAAATAATTAAATAATTAATTTTATTTAAAATAATTCAAACTATTATAAATCATTTCTGTAACGCCAGAAGTTTCAGAAACTTCTCACACTCTTTTTGTATTTGCATGTTTTTTTATTCAGTCATTACAGGATAAAGGGTTTATTATTATTATTATTAGCCTATTATTATATTTCTGACTCACAAATAGAAGTTTTTCAGTCATTTCCACCCAATAAAACATTTTAGAGCCTGACATAACTACAAAAGTGTATACTCATTATAAAAATTACCTATTACTTTGCGGTTGAATTTTTTTATTTTTTATTTCCATGACCTTTTCAGGTCTAGAATATAACAATGAAAATTTTAAACACCATGGGAACCCTCATTCTTTGACTGAAAAGACTGAAAGCTGTTGATGGAAAATATTAAAATAAGAGAAACATGATGTACGAAATATCTATAAAATAGAGAAATATGATGTCAGTTCACATCTTTAGCTGTTTTAGCTTATTTGATGCTTATTTTGTCATATTTTAAATAACTGTAATATATTTACATTTAAGCCATCTTGCAGTCCCCTTGGAAGTGTGCTGAGGCCCCCTAGTGGGTTCCAGCCCACTGGTTGAGAACCACTTCTTAAAATTCATCTGAAAATAAAACTATAAAGTCCCCTGTGACCAACTCTACACAGGATGTTCTCAGCCATATGATATTTTTATTGCAATATTACTGATTCACAGCAGCAGTTTAAAGTTTGAGCCCGCTTGCTAATTTGTAATTGTTTTAGTGCCGCAGGTAACTTTTACCAAGCAGCTTCCTGTCCTATGGCAACTCACATCTCACCATTGTCCATCTGCCCAGGAGAACCAGCTAAAAGGTAAAAGTGAAGGTACTTCATCCACCACTGGATATATGTTAATGGCTGCTATAGGGCTGTTACTGTCCCATAATCCTCTTTCACAATAGTAATAACTCATCGATATGTCACCTGCCTCGCCTGTGCCTGTATGTGTGTGCTGTATTCTGTACATTCTGCATGTTTGGCCAAAAACATGGTTTTCAGATTAATCTACCGCCACATAATAACTACACTATCCTCTTTTCTTCCCTCAGCTTGACCTATAATCCATATCAGTGTTGTATCTCTCTCCCTATCCTAACACACTAGCCTCAACACACTGCCCCATCTGTCACATGTACATAACCCTACTGACATCCAACCAAATTCCAACTCCACGCTCTCTCTCATTGGCTGCCCGGTGACTCATTGATGGGGCATTAGCCAGTGGGGAGCAGAATTAGGGTTGGTGTAGGGAGGGCTGATTCAGCCACGCCTCAGGATTAATTATAGAGGGCAACAACAGAGGATTGGCGGCACAGAGACAGCCCAACCAAAGCTGCTCTCGAACGCTCCAGCATGATACAACCCTTCCCCCCACATCTCCATACATCTTCCTATGCATCATCCCTTCTTTCTCGAGTCTCAGGGTGTAAAGCAGAAGCTACTCACCTGTGATTCATAGGGCAGGAAGGCGATGTTAATCTCAGTCAGTGTCTTTATGGATTTAGAGGCACGGGATTTACTTATCAAGTTGAACAAAGAGTCTGGGATTGCTAAAATCAAAAATCAAAACCGAGATTGAGTGAGATAAATATTCTAGATAAATATCTAGTAGATGTGGTAGAAAACTAGTTGCTGACGTCCAAAAAAACAAAACATATGGATTCGAAAACGGTAAAACTCAACTGTTTAACTCTAGGGGAGTTGGAAAATTAGCCTATTTTCAAAAATAGTGGAGTGTTCCTTTAAAGTCTCTTATGCTGACCAAGGCTGCATTTATTTGATCAAAAAAATCAAGTAAAGCATTAATACTGTGTAATATTACGATTTAAAATAACAGTTTGCTATTTCAAAATATTTTTAAAAGTAATTTATTCCTGTGATGCAAAGCTGAATATTCAGCAGTTATTACTCCAGTCTTCAGTGTCACATGATCCTTCAGAAATCATTCTCAAATGCTGATTTATGATCAATGTTGAAAACAGTGGAAATGCTTTTCTGTGATATATATTTTTTCAGGATTCATTGAATCTAGATCTTTTGAATTCTTTGAAAGAATAGAATGTTCAAAAGAACAACATTTATTTAAAAATAGAAATATTTTGTAACATTATAAATGTCTTTACTTTTCCTTCATCAAATGAATGCATCCTTGCTGAAATTACAATTGATAACATTTCATCATTGTATTGCATATCAATAACTATCATCTTGTGTATGTTGGGATATAATACAAACTCCCATATAAGCTCTGTTTTATGTCTAAAAATAAATGAGACAACTTACCTCATCAGATGGAGTAATGAGATATATGGCTTCCATGGTAGGAAGAGGCTCACGCCGCTTGGTTATGTCCTCAACAACTGGAGAAATGAAAGGAAATGGTTATGGAAAAAAGTCAATTTGAGCCAAATTGCTGTATAATTTATACAGCTAAGTGGTTTTGTGCCTGTTTGAAGCATTTCTACAGCAGTAAAACTCACTTGTGATTCCCTCAGACAAAATATCTGTCATTTTACAGCATGATGAGACCATTCTCATGCTGAGCTTGTCCACCACCAATACCTGAGGGAGAACAGCATGCATTATATATGTAGAACAACACGTAACAAATCAAAGACCAGTGTAACACAACAAGTTTTAAATGCTGTTCGCCAACATGGGATGCTTCTGAGTCTATTTAATGCTGGTTTAGGATGGTCTTTTAAGCAAGAAGGCCTAATGTGACACCAGAGTCATCTTTGATTCAAATTCATTTCAAGATTCTTTTTATCATACTGCACAGACTAAATAAAGATTGTGTTTTGACACAAACAAATGCTGCACATTACAACACATCAACAATCTTTTTCATAATGATTCTTCAGATGAATAGACGGTGAGATTGATGTGTACCTTCCATTCTCCCTTCTTCTTCACCTTCTTAATGACATCATTCATAATCTCTGTAGCACACACAAAAAAAAACAAACATGAAAAACAGTGATTTCGGCAAAATGGAGATAGCAAAAAAGACAATGTTCAGGGAAAACATCAATATTTTGAATGCAAGAGATGAAGCAAATCTGAGTCCAAATTTAAGTCAAGATTATAGGAAACGTCTCAAATCTCAAATGCAAGAAAATACCTTATTAAAGAAGAAAAGAAATAATATATAGCTAATGACTAAACAAAACCTTACATTCTCTAGCCTTGGTTCTTACCATTGTGACTGTAATATTGATGTTACAATGCTTAGATATATGTTATAATTTATAAATTAATCTGAAATAATGATAGCATCGACTGAGACAGATATCCAGACAAAGATCTTAAATGACTATATTTCATACTCAATATATGTTAAGAATATTGAGAAAAAATAGTCATTTAAAATGTTTGAGTAAGAAATATGCAGTATAGGTGTGTGATAATGGAAGCATGTCTGCCTCACTTTAAATATATCTGAGAGAATGTCACTTCAAATATATCTGTGCTAAAACACTGCATAATCATACACTCTCTCTGGCAGACATTTCCTTGCACACAGTCCACTGAGACAACTATGCAGAGTTTGCCAAAAGTATCAGGTAGAGGTGTTGCTGAGTCTAGACCTTCTCTCCTTTTTTTGAATATATTTAAAACTGCAAAACACTCTCTGCAGAGACTGAAGAACATGGGTCTGGGCTGAATTTATTATTATAACATTATGGTTTGCTGCTTAGCATCACATTTAAGTACGATATGAGGATTCTTTTTGTAATTTGTTCAGTGTGATTTGGTGTTAAGATTTTTTTTTTCCTTTTTGCATTTAGTGTTTAGTTAATGATATAATAAGTTGATGATTAAGAAAATTGTATGAAACCACATAATAAAAAAAGAAATCAAATATACCATTCATGTCTTTTATGACAGCAGAAAATGAAATGATCAACTTGATTTGTTAGTTTAAATGATATATATTGTGTGGTGAGAGAGACCCAGCAATCACAGGCCTAATCTCTTCCCAATCCTCTTACACCACCAGCCTCTCTATTTTTGTTCTTCCTCTGTCTCTCTTTCTCCTGCTCTTTGTCACTCCTTTTTTTTTTTTCTCTCACTCTCTTTCTCTCTTTGTATCTCTGCCACTGGATGTGAGCACAATGGACCTGAATCATTTTTACTGCCCTTTTAAAAGCTCCATTGAATGGCGAGATCTCAAACGCAACAGCTTCATGCAGTCATATAACACATTTCACAGCTATTGACGCTGGATCTGTCAGTTCTAACACCCAGAGGTGTTGCTGCATTAAAATAAACTTGTGATGAGCCTCACAGGCTATTACTGAAATTGTCGAACAACAAATCAACATCCAGTCTGACAACATTTCTGTTTATAAAAAAAGTTGCTAGTGAGATTAAAAAGGGTTGAAACTGAATTGAAAGCTTTTAGATGCTTACAGACTAAAATCAGATACAATATTAATAGTACAAACCAATATGTCCAAATACCATCCAGCAGCATTTTTGATATATGCCTATTATGCTATGATGTGTATTTTTTCCTAATGTTGATGCAGTAATGAATATGTAGTCCTTGATGTACACATTGGCAAAAGTAACAAATATTCACAAGTGATAATGGGTAATGTTTTTCCTCAGAATCTTTTAAGATTTAATCAACACCAGCACTATATATGGCTACAGAAATAACATGAAAGAATGACACAGGACAGATGGCGAAAAGTGAAGTCTGGCTGTGATGAAAGAAACAATCAGAGAGTGCATTATGAACCCTGGAAATCTTGTCAATCCTCATGGTTGCATTTAGAGCCAGAAAATATCCAGGGCTACAAAAAAAGTACATTTTTGAAACTGGCATGTCAAAACTGTAAAGGGATGGAGTATAGGACAAATCTAACATCCATCGAGCCTATAGATATAACAAAAGGTGACTAATATTATGGTGTAAAGGAATCACATTCACAATGCCTTGCCGAGCACTAGCGCCCGCTAGAGGGCGACATTGTCTTTTTATTCTGCCCAATGCAAGTGGCCGCTTCAGAGAAATGCTTCACTCATTTATTTCTCCCTATAAAATTATATATTTTAATATTTTTAGCTTATTATTTCATACATGGAAAAAAAACATAAACCAGGTTTGTTTTGCATTTATCTTTCCTACAGCAAAGTATCGCAGACAATAATAAAAAAAAAAGTTACATTAAATTGTAAAAAAATTTATACATTTTCTTGTATGTCTTAAAAATCAAGCTCTGCATATAGTGGTGAGAAATTTGATTCATCGAAGTGATTCTTTTGAATCTTTCGGAAGATTTTAGGCTTGACTTTAAGCTATTGAAAAAAAACAATGACAATAGACTTAATTAGGAGTTTCAATTACGTCATTATACCCCCTTTTTGTGTATAATACTAGTTAGTCATTTGCCCACATTCATAACGAGATGCCTCGTTAATTAGCCTAAATTTGTTGATGTGCTATTTGTCACCTTTATTTTCTCATACTATAGTCAGTCCTTGAAGTCAGGAAATGCCCTTCCAAAAGTGAACAACTTGAGTCAGTACATAGAGTTGATGGGAACGATTAGTTCAAAGATTTGTTCAAACCCCTTGATTCGCTCTTAGAATCATAATGCTTAGAATGAACGCACAGCCCCGCCTCTAATTGGAGGTGAATTCAGAATCCTGCAACCCCGCCTTCAGCACGCTCATGTGTCTCCTGAAGAAACTTGGGTTTTGTTTTTATACAGTCTATGGTTTTGACGCAGAAACCGAGCACAGGGTCTGTGCTTCACACAGGACTAAAGAAGCATTACACCAAGAGTTATGGAAAACTAAGCCTTCTTTAATCCAGCGCGGTGCCTGTCAACTCTATATGTAACTCCAGCTACTCTTCCTGCGTTCAAACTACTTGAGTAAAAAGAGGGAGGAGCCGCTAAAATCAACTTCAGTTCATATATTATCATAAGAAACCAGCGCCCTGCTGCTACTACAGAGCTGCTCCTCAAGAGACGAATTTGACCGATCCAGCAGTATTTGCCAACTATCAGCGGCGCGATGGGGGATTTGATCTCAACTCATCTGGACGAAGCCAAACGAGAGATTATAACAGGTAAGCGCTCTGATGGACTTGTCTGCTAACTGCGATGCTTTACTAGTTGCAAGACGTGATAGATAATCAGTCTTGGTATAAAAAATATGGTGTTGCGAAAGGGTTGCAATGCAATTTCAGTTAAGGCCAGTGCTGGGGTTTTGGGTGAAAGGGTTTACATTCTACCCCAAAAAGTAAACGTGGGATAATGAACTTTGTGCCGTTCCCGCACTAAAGAGAAAGTTTGTTGCGACGTGGCACAGTATTTCATGTTATTTTTTTATAAGTTTGAAATAACCTTGCATAAATAATAACTGTATGATTAGTAAGAATCGAAAAAAAAGCGAGAGAGAGGATTAAACTCATAATGCTTTTAGGATGTACAAGATAAACTCATAATGCTTCTCCATTAGGATGTACAAGATAAATGTGAGTTGCACTACTGTTGATAAAGAGGGTCCCCGGTTCGAACCCCGGCAAGGACAGGAGGCCTTTCTGTGTGGAGTCTGCATGGGTTAACGCTGGGTGCTCCGGTTTCCTCCCATAGCCATGAAGGTTAGGTTAATTGAACATTCTAAATTGTCCCCGGACGTGTGTGTAAAGACAAGGCTTGTGTGTGTGGATCGACTTGTGTATGGATTAACTGCTTCTCGCCATGAATATAGCCATAGATGCTGGATTGGCGTTAAGAAAGAAATAAACAAACAAACACACACACTATTGTTGATATCTTAAATAAATCATGAAAAAAATCAAATGAATTGTAAATAAATTCGTGTGGTTGACCAGGTGGCCTGCATCTCTTCAGAACTTTGTGGTCAGGTGTGGTTTGGGTGGAACGGGTTTGAGTAAATGCTGACATTCACTGTGGATACTATAGCAGAAGATTACCTACCAGTGCCAGAAGATAACTTTCGTATTTAGGAACAAATACAAATGTTAAATCACAACATATAGTACATTTATGTACAAACAAGTCATTTAACTGACTTAAATGGTCAGTTTGAATAGTTATGGGTATTACCTATGAAGTCCTATCAGCATCAAATAGCAATATGGTCAGAATAGGTTGAGATGTAATCTTTTCCATGGGCTGTTGGAGATTTTGCTTTAACGTTCAGTATTTCAAGGCTGATTTCAGTTGTTTTGTTGTTGTTTTCAACCAAAACCATTCCATTTTTGCAACCTTATTTTATAATGCAGTAAATACAGATATTTAACAGCTACAGGTGTCTGTAGAGACACTAAACCCAAATAATACAATCCTATAATAGAATCCAGGTCTACAATAAAAACGATTAAATTTATTAAAAGTTAAAAAAAAAAATCATCTGAGGGTTTTTTAAAGTTATTTTTGGATGGTTAATTTTGGAGTCCTGGTTCATTTCTGACCCTTTTAACTACTTTGTTACTTTTAACTACTGGAGAAATTTTGTATAAAAAATCTAACTAAACTCAAAGGATAATGTAAATAATCTTTTATTTGTTTTTTTTAGTCTGGAAACATCTGGCTGGGGTGTCACTGTGGGAAAATAAAAAGCACAGTTCTTGCTGCTTATAATTTTGAATCATTGTAAGATAAAATTGATACTGAGATTGATTTGTTAACTTTCCATTTTCTCTCCTTTTGCACATTTTAAGAGAAAGAACATATCAGATAAGGAATCTCAGGAATGCATGCAGAGCCTAACAGCATTAAGGAGGCTGCCTGGATGATCTGTCATACTCAACACTTAGATAACCTTTGTTCAGCAGGCCGTGTATACTTACTCTCATAAGCTAATTCATAGGGGGTGTGACTGACTTAATTTTTCAGGTTCTATAAAAATGTGTGGAACTGTAGTAGAATCTGCCTATATGCAGTCAGCTTGTCAAACAATATGAAACAATAGCCTACAGTGGGCTATTGTTTGTTGCTGACTGTATGACCTCACCTTTCTCTTGTCAGTAAAGAGGGAGTCCCCCAGTCTGAAAAGTGTCCAAGTAATGCCGAGTTCACACTGCACGATTTTCAAAGACGTCGCATCACTGTTTGTTTCACACTGAACGACTATCCGGGGTAGCATTCAGTTGTTGCTGTGTTCACACTGCACGACTTCCTGTAGTCTAGAATGAATGAAGTCATCTTCTCAAAATAGTGGGTGGGGAATAAAATGACCTCAGCACTTCCTGTCTCATATCTTTGAGTTTAAAATGTTTGACAGATTTAGTAGCTGCAAATGTTTATTTTACATTCTAAATTTATGGTATTTTTATGTTTGTTGAAGCATGGTTTTTGGGTCAGATCTTCCATGCTGAAGAGATGGTAACGTTTGAGTCAGTTTGGGAAGTAAATGACACCCCCACACCACTGTTTTGAGTAGCTGGGGGGACGTGGGGGCTCTTGCAGGAAATGCTTTAATTTAGTGTTCATGGAAGGGTGTTTCTTGGGAAGTTGTAGAGTGGAAATTTTCTAAAAACAATATGTTTGTTTATAGAACTTTATAGTGAGGTCATAGTGCACAATCCATTCAACTTCCTATAGTGTGTGTGTAGCCCCTCTCATATTGCTAACGCTAACTCATCCTCTTCTCAAGTGAACAATTCTTAGTCATACACCAAACTGACTGGAATTTAAGCAAAATGGAAGTGAGTGGGGAATTAGTCTGAAAAATCATCTGGCTGGAATGGCAGTGTCACTGTGGGAAAACAAGAAACACAGAATTTGCTTCTTATGTTGTAGGTTTAATTGGGAATTTTCCATGATGAACATCAGGCTTGCTCAATGTTGGACTCAGCACCAATGAGGCTCTCAGGACAATTAAAACAAATGATGAGCACAGCATGTTTATAAATCACATCCCGGCATGCTTCACTTACTGTATAGCAACAGATCATCAAAAAACACTGCTAAAGTATTGTGCTTGAATTTTGTTTACTTTTTTTTTTAAAAAAGGAGATGTACGGCATTGCCGCTTTGTCCTTAAACAAGGCATCTAACAATTTCCAAATTCCCATTTTATCTGCACTGTTACTAATCCCTGACAGTATTTCCATAAATTCCAGGAATTCAAAAGCTCAGTTCTCAACCAGTACTATATAATCAGGCAATATAATTTATCTAAACTGTTTGTGCGGTCAAATTCAAAACCCATTTGTTAGAAATGTTAATGGAATGTTTTATAAACTAGATGAGGAGCACATCATGTTGAAATGTTGAAATGCACCCGAGATGCTAATTTGGCCATGCCACGAAGAGGGGTGTGCATTAAAATTTCAATAATTCAGCAGTCTGCAATCAGCTATTCCACATATACCAAAGCAAATGTAATGCTGAGTGAAAAATATCATACATTAATGATCAAAGTTTTGGGGTCAGTAAGATATTTTTGGAAATAAAGTAAAAATTGTATCCAACAAATATATTTAAAATATACAGTGGGTACGGAAAGTATTCAGACCCCCTTAAATTTTTCACTCTTTGTTATATTGCAGCCATTTGCTAAAATCATTTAAGTTAATTTTTTTTCCTCATTAATGTACACACAGCACCCAAGAGTTTGGTTTCAAATAAATGCTGTTTTTGTCATCAGCAAAATCATTAGAATGATATCTGAAGGATCATGTGACACTGAAGTTATGTTCTGTAATTATGGCTGCTGAAAATTCTCCTTTGCCATCATAGAAATAAATGAACTTTTAAAATATATTAATAGAAAAAGGTTATTTTTAATGTTAAAATAAACTGTTAATTTTTTTCCTGACACAATAAAATACAAATGTATCACATTTGTGGCAGGGCCAATGGAACTGTTGGTCAATTAAAAATATGTACAAACCAGGCAGCTTAGGCACAGCCCAAGCTGCCATTACTACTTGAGAAGTGTTCAAAGAAGAACATTGTGATATGTAACTGTAATGCTGTCAGCATTATTTCTGTGCAATTATAGAAAATTACCCTTGGGAAGTGTGTCAACCTATCAAAATCAAGAATTCAGGTAGTACTCAGGATGATCCATGATCATGCTCATCTTGAAGGAATCAAAGAGGACCATGATCCAAGTGTTTTGGGATTTCCTGCTGTGAGCTCAACTAGACAAGCCTGAATGACTCCAGCAGACCATGTTTGTATGAATGTAACAAACAAAGGAAAGATGCAGTCTTAGTCCTTACAAAGACTTTTCTGTTTGCACTGTTTAAGTGTAATTGAGTTGCTCTGTGGTTATAGTTTGTTCCATTGGCTAATGAAGTGCAAGCAGTATCTTCAGCGTGAGACTTCGGAGTCTCTCTTTGAAGTGGCTGTTAAGCGGTAATGCTAACTTGATTTGTTCTTGAGCTTGTAATGAAATTAAAAAGGAACAAGGCATGGCACCAAGTATCACATGAGACTCATTCAGTGAGTGACTCATAAACAAACAGCACACACACACATACACAAATGCTCTCAGCCTTGGAGAGATTCACATGAACATGCACATGCCCTCTATCTTGTGGTTTCTTCCCGACCCGGGGCCTAGTTCATAACCATTGTTTGCATTCAACCTCTCAAAGAAATGTCTTCTGTTAGCACCCTTTTTTATTTGAAATACATTCTGACATGTATAGTAATGTGTGAAGTCTTTCCATGCATCGTATATGCTGCAAGTCTCCTATGGTCATGAACAACTTGACATTTCCAGGCCTGGAGAGATTCTTTGGTCATGTTACCTTTTTCCTTCCCAGAACTTCCATAGCATATTCTTGTTGTCAGTACCAGGATCTGAGCTCCCAGATTTCCCTCTCAAGAGCTTTCACTTCGTCCGCTCTGACATGGACACATTCCAAAGAAACTTCCTTTTCCTCTTTCCCCACCCCCCTGAAGGCCAGCTGCCCCCTGTGTGGTCGGCATGATGGTGTTGTAATTATCCTCACTAGTGGAACTGCTCTTTAAGTGTCTGTCTCCCAACCTCCACATTACCAAAGCAGAGCTTGGAAAGATTTCTTTCCCACCTTCAGCTTCATGCACATTACTGAGATGTTTGTTTTAGTGTCGAAATCAGTTACTGAGAAAAGCAAGCTTCGTTCGTTGGATTTGTGATGAGATGGGGGATTGTGAAATTTTGTGTCAGGAATGATTTGGCATGGCAGCAGATCATTGGGGATCTGCCTAAGGGTGTTTGTAAAAGATTGATGCCTGATCAGTGTGCAAACAATGGTGCAGCAACAACTGCACAGCCCTAACAGTCAGCTCTGTTCCCACCATCACTGTCTGTACGTGTATAACTACACTACCCATAATCCTGAAATGGGCAGTGTCTTTAAAGGTGCAGTATAGGTGATTGTCTTTAGAAAAATTTTTGTTATGCTGGCTGAAAGTCTCTTCACATCCCGATAGCAATCATTAAGTTAAGTGGTCTAAATGTATTTGTGTATTTATATATTCTGTGGAAGGCGTAGGACCAAGAAATGTTCGTCCAATCAAAACGCTCGTTCTGAGCATTTTGATTGGCTTTCCTACCTGCCTGTCAACATGTGTATTTGCATACCTCTGAGCACCCGGTTCGCGCAGACAGGATACGTCATCATCAGCGCTTTCACGTACGATGTGCAGACAGAGCGATAATGGCAGGCAAACATCAACAACCTGATCTTCCTTCGTATTGTAATACTTTTACTAACTGTACTATAAAGTTTTCTCACCAGTGAATGACATATGATGTATTGTAGTAATGTTGTCTCTGGTCGTCTGGTCTGTTCGCGTTCATGCATTCAGGGGGCGTGGCTTTGGACAGCGATTTGCAGGGAGGGTGGGACGTTCGCTTTCAGTGCTATCAGGCTAAAGTTAGCATTTTCCAAGATCTCCTACTGCTCCTTTAATATTCAGACAAGTTGCTATTATAGAAGTGAGTTTTTGTTTCAAAACAAAGTTTGTAGTTTTGTGATTCATCAGGTGCTAAAACAATGCAAATAAACAACACATGCAAATAATTGTTTATAGACTATTATAGTATTTATTAATACATTTTAAATTGGCTTTATTTTTTGTAATTTTGCTATGTTCTTTCGTCATTTTTGTTTAGTAATTTTAGTACTTTCTCATTTAATTTCAGTTAGTTTCCGATGCAAAATTCACATTTTTATTTATTTGTTTAAGATTTATTTTTGATATTTTTTGCCTTTATTAGGATAGGACAGTATATTAGGGCATAGTGGAGAGAGAGAGAGAGCCAGGACTCGAACTGGGGACGCCCGAAGAGCAGTGGTGCTATATGTCAGCACGCTGCCCACGAGGCTATTGGTGCCGACATTTTTAAAGTGTACGTTTTTCATAAAATATTTGTATTTTATTTATTTCAGCTTTATTTAAATTAGCACAAGCGTTAGTTTTAGTTAACAGTAACAACACTGCAGTAGGTTCAATTCATATTTCATAGCTTTCTTGGCAAGTAAGATCATCACGTATTTCCCATCGCTTCTAATATGGTACTTTTTAAAACAATGCAGATGGTCAGGTTGACCTTATTCTGAGCCTCCTAGTCTCCTTTTTCACATTCCCCTCTGTTAAGTGCTGGCTGCACAACTGCCTAATGGCTTTAGCAGTTCATTTAATTACATATTCTGGCTTTATGTGGCAAATGTGATAGATTGAGAGTTGGTCAGGAGAAATCATAAGCCGAGCTCCACAGACTTTTAATTTCTGCAGTGTAGACCGTACACATGCAGAGAGGGAACATTTTAGGGTGTTCCTACATGTGTGCATTTGACTTGGCAGAGTGAAGTATGTAAATGCTATACGTCAGGCCTGTTTATAATTTGCTTTGATGTTTGAACTTGAGCGTTTAACTGTATGGATCTGATTTGTTTGAGTCTCACCCTGTATGAAACTTAATTTTTATCAGTCATAGCAATCATATATAACCTTGAAATATCCCTTACTGTTATTCCAGTTGTATGTTTATTTTAGGAACTGGAGCTATTTTTAATGTGCAGGTGATTTCACTGACCTTTCTTAAAGGGTTAGTTCACCCAAAAATGAAAATTAGCCCATAAATTACTCACCCTCAAGTCATCCTAGGTGTATATGACTTTCTTCTTTCAGACGAATCCAGTCGGAGTTATATTAAAAATGGTCTTTGATCTTTCAAGCTGTTTAATGCCACTCAGCGGGTGTTGCATGCATCAGTCCAAAAGAAGTTAAATAAAAAGCGCCCATCCATAAAAAAAAGTGTCTCACACGGCTCCGGGGGGTGAACAAAGGCCTCCTGTAGCGAATCGATGCATTTTTGTAAGAAAAATATCCATATTCAAAACGTAATAATCACTTTAATCTAGCTTGCGCCAACAGTCCTACACGGAAGCAGCTCCAGGCGGATGACGTATGAGGTCGGCGTTGCGCATGCTCTTGTGAGTCTCGTGAAAACCAACGTTTGTTTACAGGATCAAAGGAAGCAAAGTTTCCTTACTTTAGCAAAGGAAAACCAGTCTCCTCTTGGCTTATATCGAAATCCTCCGACATTCTTCTACAAATCCTCGTTTTGTGTACTTCTAATAAGTGACCGGTTTTGTTTTGATCTCGCCCCTG